ATGTATGCTCAATGGAAGACCTCGGTCTTGGGTTTTCCTCATCGGTTTTCAATGTATGTTCAGTGTAAGACCGACCAACCTAAAGCGTTTGGTGACGACATGTTCGGACAGTGCTCAAATGTCAAGTGTACAAGCGACCATGATTTCAAGTGCACAAGCGACCCAAATTTCAAGTGTACAAGCGACAGCTCGCCCCACCTCGGCAGAGGTGACCCCCACCAGGACGTCCACGTCGTGGTCCACGACGTCGCGCACCGCATCCAGGTGGCCGGAGCGGAGGCCGTGGCGGAGCAGGGCGATCAAGGTGCCACTGTAGGGAAACCAGTCCTCAGGCGGAAAAAGAGGTGAAAAGGAGTGAAAAAGGGGCATGCAGCATCGGGTGTTTCATGTGTTTGCTCTCTTTTGGTGTGAACTTGGAATTTGGTGTGTGAGGCTACGAATTCAAGAAAACTGACAAAGACGTGGAAAACGGTCGTCGAAAATTCTTCCGAAAGCCGTGTGCTTCGACGTCTGCACGCCAAACCACTAGGCCAACGCTTGACAAAGTATGGAAAAGGCCCCCAGTGGAAAAGGCAAGAACGCTGTTCAGATCCCCAGCCTGGTTCGGGTTGGCCCAAGGTGCCGGGGTGGCAATGACCATGGATCAAACTAAAACACCTGTTGCTGAAGAAAGAAACCCTGCACCGCCGGAGCATCCCACACCCATCGCGGATTTCTTCCATCACCTGGAGGCCAAGTGGTGCATCTAGGGCCGCTGGATGAGGCACACGGCATGTGGTTGAGGCACTGGATCAAACCATATCAAACCCAGTGCTTCTTCGGTGGCTGAACAAAAATGACGAGCACATATATATGACATAATATGCTGGCTCGACTCAAAGATGTTCATTTACCAAGTTGTAATTATGCTGACATCCTTGTATTACTGCATGTGACCTTCACGGAAAGAACGTGGAACAAGCAAAAACGGACCCAACGAACCGACCAGGATGCTTCACCCAAACGGTCGAGGATGTGCAGGGTACCGTACCCTGCAGGGTACCGTTGCACCCTTCCATAACCAGACGTGTCCAAGCTTCCAAGCCTTCCTCTTCCAAGATCACGCTCACGTCTTCCAAAGCCTGACTGGCCATGCTCAACGTTAGAACAACAGGAGGTTTGGATGATGAGTGCACAAACAATTGGCAGCAATTCAGAGCTGGTGCTGATCAGCACTCCTAAAAGGAGGGGCCTTTTGATCAAAATCTAAATCATTCCAATGTCGACTTACCCCGTCCCAGTACAATTTTGATCAAGGCAAGGCAAACTCAGGTTGCTGGGGCAACCTTTTGCGACAACAAGGAGGAGACTCGTCGTTTCCACACGCCCAGCCTGAGTATGTGCTTCATCACTGGTGTCCACTGGCTCTGGGTCCCACTGCGGCCTGGACGCAGCAACCCGCTCGTTGAGCCATTGTACAATTTCGGTGTACCTAAGATGTGCCGTGGCCCTCGGCGGTGGCAGCTGGAATAGCTGGGCCACACGCGAGCAGCTTGGGAAACCTAACATATAGGCAAATGAAGAATGTTTTTGATTGGTCTGCTTGATACTGTACTGTAGCGGGGTCACCACTAAAACAATGTTCAAAGCACGGTCATCACCTGGCTTCTCATCCCGAAGAGAGTGCTGATCCCAGTGCCAAGCTGCGCTCGTGCAGCCTCCGAGAACGGCCATGAGCCATCAGTCTGATGGCTCAATCCCATCCCCAGCAGCATCTCCTTCTGCAATCGGGACAGGCGGTGGAAGAGCCCTTCGTGCTCCAGGTTGTTTCCTGACTTCACACAGTCAGGTCCGCACACCCAAAGGAATGCCTCTGCAACAGTCACGAGAAGGTGAGTCAAACACCCAATGATTGCTTTTTCGGCCGGTCGTCAGCCCAAGTCTCTGGAGGCAAAGGCAAACTTGATGTCATGGAGCATGAACATCACAGCCGCAATCACCACTGCTGCAGGGCACCCCGTGCCATCCAGCAAGACCTCTCGCCGGAGCCAAATCACCTGGAAACCGCGATCGCTCTCACCAATCATTCCAAGTATGATGGCAATTGGCAATAGAAGAATGCCATGGGGTTTGGTTTCCTTGGCGGTGCTTGTCTTTGCTTGTCTTTGGGCAACTGTTTGTCCTGTTAGGCTAAGCGGCTAAGCGGGCAGGCCCACAGAACATGGGGCTCCAGGCAGTCTATCTGTTCCTTTTTGGATGACTTAGGCACACCAAACGGCCCGAAACCCAAGATCCTGATGCTGTGAACACCTTGGCCAACTCCAAGAGGTCTGGATGCAAAGGGGCGTTCAGGATGCCCATCTGCTCACCTTTCAAACACGGAGATTCTCCTCCGGGTCGCTTCACTGATTCGATGCCTTCACTGATTCCAGCCTCCTCTTCCCTCCCCATCCTCTACTTGCAAAAATGAACGGCCAACGCAACCGCAACAAAAACATCCATGGCCCCACTTGTAGGCGCATGTAGGCGCATTAAAACAACTATCGAACCCGCAAAGCAGGTAGGGCCTGGATGACCTTCGACCTGCGAAACTCGTGGCACACACGGCGAAAGGTGTGATATATCGGCTTCGGATGGGTCTATGGCTTCTGTTCTATGTGGTCAATCAACCGCCTGCTATCACCTGCAAAACTATGTCGTTCCATCAACAAACCTCCGGCCGCTGGCCTTGCTGAAAGTGCTTCGTTGACAAGACCTCCAAGGCTGAAAAGGAAGAGGCTGTGAGATCTGTTGAGCGGCCAAAAGAATTCAAAGGATCTACAAATTTCCACTGCACTTGAAAAAGGTTTGTGTGGGCGCCGAAGCCTTGCCGAGCCTGGAACTGCGTGAGGTTCAACCCATGTGCGCGCCGCACGCAGCGCTTGGAGAGCCCTGGGTCCACTTGGGCCGCCGAAGCGCTCAGCAAAAAGACCTGAGGAACACCAACATAGCCCTTGTAGCACGTGTGCATGTTGTCACTGGATGATGTTCACTAGAATTCTCACCAGCGGTCGCACCAATAAAAGCAAGTGGTTGCATGCATTAACAAACGGGGCTGCTGGTCTACTTTGACCGTCCTTCCCAGCGTTCGTCGGGCTGCAGATGCGACTGGAACGGCGTGAGTGATGCGCGCTTGGGGCGTTGAACTGGAATTTCAAGTGACCTATACAATCTATACATCTCTTGGGGTGTGGAAGTTGTGGTTGGATCTTCTGATGCCCGTCAGGTCTGGCTGCCAAAGCAACCTTCAAGGCTTTGTTGGGCACAATAACATGTGCCAGGCAACTGTTTCCACCACCTACCACGTGGCACACGATAAATCACGATAATATGGGAACAACAAAGGCGACTCCCATCAGGCCCCCCCTGAACCCGTGGCCGGCGGAAGGGATCAGCAGGTCGCCCGCCGGATCCGGTCACGGGATCATGGGATCAGGGAAAATCAAACAAGACCTGGTAGCAGGGCATCGCTACGAACGGAGCGTTCGGACGCTACTAGGGGCTCCTGGCAGCGCTAGTAGGAGCAATGTGCGCTAGTAACAAGGGCATTGCTACTAGGAACAGGAAGCTACTAGGCATCGCTAGCGAGTCTCTGGGAGATTTTGATCCAGTCGATGCATTCCTCGCGCTCTTTCCCGCGCCGGGTCACCTGTGCGGACACCCAAGAACGCCCCGAGATGCTGGTAATGCACCGCGGTGGGTTCTGCGGGTCTTTGCAGCCAAGCCCATACTTCATTGCTTTGGCCATTGGCCAGGCCACTTTGTGGAGCACTTCGGAGTCTCCAGGCGCTGGCCCCCTGCGGCATCATGAGCTCCACCGCCATTGGCGAGGCCACTCAGAAGCAGCTGGCGCGAGAGCAGCCGCCGGCCGGGCTATACCCCACCTGTGTTGGTTGCAAGCCTGAGCCGGCGGGTGCCATCTGAAGCCAGGCCTCTGCGGTTTCCCTTTCATCGGCCTGGATGGTGGCTGTGGGCCTGTTCCGTCTCGCAGTTCGTCTCGTCCAAATCCTGATCCGACACTAACTCGGCATCCACAGGGTCAACCATGAAGAAGCTCTCAGTGGTAGTCGATGAAGCCATTGCTGCGTTCAACGAGCGGGAGCGAACCTACCGAGCTTTTTTCAGCAACTGGTGCGTTGGCACTGAGCCAAAATGTCCCAGTGGGACATTTTGGCATCATATCGTGAACATAAACCTTGTAAACACAGGCTTAATGCAAAAAGAATAAAACACTCTCACACTTGCGGTCGTTGCACGCCCACAGCACGAGCGATGGGCTGTCCGCAACAGTCCTTGGCGCATCGTCAGCCTACCTCTGAAACTCGGGATGTTCCCAAGTTCTTCTCAGCGGTCTTGCCAGGTCATTCACCGTATGAATCCTACGCCTGCCACCGAAATCAATCAACGCACCACGCACCTCACTGACCTGTCCAGTGGACCTCAGGCCAATGCCCCCTAAAAGGCCGTGCAACTCCACACGTCGACAGGTCAAGACCCGAGCATTCAACAGCCAGGTCACACTTACCCATCAAGCACCTCAACAAACTCCTAACACACCTCAAAACAGAAAAGGAGAATAAAACAAGATCAGACGCGCGTCCAACAACAGCAGCCTGGCCGTGGGTAGACATGTTGGGGTACATAGACTCTAAAAGACGCCTGGCTCTAAAATCGAACGCCTCCTCTTCGTCTTCAACAAACCCGATCGCCGCAACGCACCACACAGAGGCCAAACGACCCAAGGGCACCACACACGCCACATGTGTGTCACGGGGCCCCATGGCCACGGTCACCCGCGTTGCGGAAACAGGCGCATAAGAGGTACTTACTTCCCATGTCACGTAGCAACTCAGGGCCAGTTAGACAAGAGAAAGGAGCCACTTGCTCGATCTTGAGAGTGTATTGTAACCTAGGACCTAGTCTTGAGTCTTTGTGCCTTGGAGTGTCTTCTCCATTTTGTGTTGAAAGTGTTGTACTTGAGCCATGGCGGCTAGTGGGACACATCAGCTGGCGATCAGTGGGATGGGTACTTTCTAATCGGCCAACTCGTCGAGAGGCATTGGTGTCATCACACAAGTCGCCTCTCAGTCCAGCTGAGTGGGCCATTCTTGCTAAAGCTGCGGTGCTTCGAAAGAAACTGGTCCAATTTGAACAACTCTTGGCCTTGTCTCTCTGAAAAGTGGAGCCCTGCAACTGACCAACTGTCCAAGTGCTAAACAATGCTAAACATGGATCCAACCCCACCTTGGCCCTGGCCCGCCGCTCTTCCCACTCCTGGTTTTCCCAATCAGGTGGGATCTGTTCAGAAAGAAATCGGAAAATCAAGCTGAGGCACCGTCTGATCCTCGGCTGGCTCACACATCCAAGCGTTCTCCTCGTCGTGTTCGACACCCAACACCCCCAGTCCTCGAAGCGTTCGTCATTGAAGGTCCGAGCAATCGCCGTCTGCTCTTGGCACCTTGGCTGGACAAAAGAATTTGTGTCCAATATTTACTAGTAGCTTCTTGTTCCTTGTAGGAAGGCCAGGAGCCCCTAGTGGCTCCCTTGCTCTGTTCGTAGCGATGCCAGGCGCCCCTAGTAGCTTCTTGTTCCTAGGGAGCACTTAGTTGGTTTTGTCGGCGGTCGCGCACAGTTCTGTGCCTACGAAGGTTCACGCACATGGGATGTGCACTTGCGCAAGGTGCTCAAGAACCTGAGGCTAGTTGGCCTCTCTGCGCTCTCCACTTCTCTGCGCTCTCTGTTCGATCTAGGGGTCTTCCATCCAGGTAGATCTGTGGATGGACCCTTTTGTAGGACGAACCTGGAGGGCCCTCGACCGACTGCCAGAGCAATAGTCAGACCTGCGGGAGACATCGGCTATCCGAAGGCGCATCCGATGGCGGCCACTATGGTCGGGCAGGTCAATCCACGCCCTGCCCGACCGGTCCGAGTGTTGACGCCCCGGTTCCTGAGGCATTGAGCGTCGTTTTACGACCTGCTGAGTGGCACTTGTTGAGGAGCGGCAACTGATATGGTTTCCCCTTTCAGTTAGTCAGTGGTCCCGTTCCATCGCCGGAAAGGCGAAAAAAGCCAGCGCGACTCAGCACACGACATCATGGGGTCGCATGGTACTTCCCCTCGAGCCTGCCCAGCGGGGAAGCTGAACTTTAGAACTGCTTCAGGCAGGGGAGTGCCACAACAGCAAGATGTGCATGAACAATTACGCATGATGTTCCACATCATGATCATGATGTGTCAGTCTGTGTCAGACTCAGAAGTGCCGCATGGTTGGTTCTGTCATGCGATGTTGCGACATGCGGCACGATGTGATTAGAGTATATAGATTCGAGCGTGGCGACGACTCTCGCCTGAGCCCGAAGGATCAGGTGCTGTGGCCAAGGATCCAGCGATTTCGGCCCTGGCACGCTTCGACATTGAGTCCATCCAAGGGTGCAGAAACATGGGCAACGGCCACAAACGCTCCCTCGCCAGCAAAGGCACAAACAGGGAAGGTGGCCTCCCCACTGAGCTCTCCCTATGAAAAAACTCCGCTCCCTGAAGAGCCCAGCGAGTCACAAGTCCGTTCGGAAAGTTCGGCCTATGAGCTTCACCAGGGTCTGAGTCTGCTCCATGGCATCGCCCACTTTTTGGCCAGCCGCCCTTCGTGGAGGGCAGCAGCCTAGAAACAAGATCGAAAACCTTCCTGGTTGGTGCGGCGCTGGTGGGCCAAATGTAGAGGATTTGGGCCGTTTGGTGTCTTGCTTGTTGATTGGCACGAAAGTTGGATGACAACTGTTCCTGCTTGTTTCTCTGGATTGTGAAGAGGATCTTCACCCTAGATTGGAACTGTGTTTTTGCAACTGCTGGGCAGATCTACAACAGCTGCAAGCCTGTGAGTCAAACAACGCAACACTATGGCACTGCTCACGGAACGACCGGACATGAGAATCGAGCAGAATAGTGACCCCTGAGTGTGGGTCTTGCTTTAACCCAACCCCCCTACGCTGCCATCCCCATTATGGCGTCCCCCTTTTCCGAGCAGCGTCATGCCAAGCGCATGCGCTTGGTCGCAGGGTCCTCGGATCGATTGGCTGCGAAGTAAAGAATTACGGATGCTGTGACAGTGCAGCCGAGATCAAGTTTCTGAGGGGATCTGATTGCAAAAAGTAATTTGGTGAAAAGACCATCTTCTAACCTTCACCTTCACCTTCCCAATCCCCATAAATTTCCCCGTTCAAGGATCACTTCACCCCAAAAAATGCTGAGGACGTTGCCTGGTCATCATCTACCACAGCGCCCTGCACCGTTTTTTTAACGCGCCGTCACGGACCACGTCGAAAACGCCCTGTAGAAACCAGGAGGGGAAAGAAACAACCTCCATTGTCCTCTGCGGTGGGGAAAAAAACGTCGACCTTCCAAAAGCGGGAGAGGAATACACAAGGCCAACAAAAAGGGCTCGTTCCCCTTGGTGAACTTCACCTAGATCAACTTCATGAGGTGTGTTTTTGATTATTTAATGCATTTTCATACCATCAAATAGCTATGATGTTGCATGACCTCTCTCCCCGTAGACTGTGCCCCACTCATCCAGCCCCTTGAGCAAGAGAGTCGCATAGGAGGACCCTTCCAGTGACCCTTCTGATCAGGAGCACGGTGATCGAAGGTGGGCGAATGAAACGGATCAGCACGACTTCGCGGGACAGATCCAAGCGGCTTCCATTGAAGCAGAAAAAGCAGCAAATCCAACCAAGAAAAAGCACAAAGAAAAAGCCAAGTGCAGCAGGTGCTCCTGGGGTTTTCTCTGGCGTTTTGTTCTTGGTTGGCTCCAAGATCCTAAAACTTCCAAAACTCTGCTCATGCTCGGCAAGCTAAGCAGCTCAGCCGGACTGGAACCTGACCTTTGTCAGCCACAGCCCAGGACTAATTACTACTATATAAATTAGGCTGTTTCAGCCGTAATACTCTTTCCAGTACTCCTTCAAATCATCGAAGGTGTATTCCTTGGTGCCAGTTTCGGAGAATTTCTTCTCCATTTTCTCTTTCACGAAGGGCATGGCGAACCCAAAGTCGCCCCGGCTGGCCAGCAACGCCGCTGCCACAAAGGTTGCTTGGTCCACGGCCTTCAAGTCCCCCGTGTCCTTGTCCCAAAAGCAGGTCTCCGCCATCTTCATGGTGTCGGTGAGCAGTTCGTCCTGACCATGACCATCACTAAATCATGTCTGGCTTCGAAAAACTATGAACGCCAAGACCAGCACTTCACCTTAAAACTGGGACTCAAAAAGCGGCATCACAACAACACCTCAAGCAGCCTCGGACCTATATATGCAAAACATCCACACAACGGCATCACATCCCAGCCGCCACCGCCACCATGACCCCGCTCACTTCACAGCACTTTGCATTCTATGCGTCATCAACCGACAAGAACACAAAGCACGTGCATCTGTATTCACTTCCATATGTAGCAGAAATCTGGCAGCAAAATGAACGCCAAGTGTTAAGGGCACAGGGACCCTCCCCTCGCCTCATCACCAGCTTCGTCCTCCTCTGCATCGAACTGCTGGATGTCGTCCGCTCCGTCTAACTCATCCTCACCTGGAAGCTCCAAGTCACCTCCATCATCATCGTCCGGGGTGAAATCCACCTGCGCCCCGGCTGGGCCCGGAAAAAACGCTTCAGATCCCAACAGTCCAAAGACTCACAGGGCTGGTTTTTGTAAAAAGCAGCACTCCCATTTAGTGAATACTTGGGCAACAAGAATGCCATCAGTTGAGCTCTTTGGTCCTCGCAACCTGAACCCAATGGGCACCTCAGACCCGCTGAGGTGCGTTGTGCACTGACCCCTATCACTTGTGGCACTTGGAAGCTTCTGGTTGGGAACCTACCCAAAAACCGCCCAACCTGACCCAAGTGACCGCTAAGCCGCCAGCCTTCTCTACATCGCCCCCCTTAAGTACGCATCGAGCCCGACACCCTTGCCTCGGTGAGGCCCTTGATGGCATACTGCTCGCCCATGTTGAACTGTGGGTTGGCCACGTAGTCGTAGGGAACATAACCTCGGACGTCAAACCAGAAACGCTGGCTGCTAGCTAGCTACTGCCGCACAGCTGAAGAGGTATAGCAAACTTGGCAAAAGCACTGCCAGTGCATCAAGCAGCCGTAGCCTTGGTCGCCCCAATCTGGTCCCCAGCTGTTCCTCACAACGAAGATGCTCTGGCGATCGTTGTAGCCCACCAGCAGCATGGCGTGGAGCCCATGATCGGCTGATTGAGGGTCACTGGGGTCGGGTGTGGCACAAAAGCCCTGCCGAGGCCGAAAGAATCCTAGTAGCAAGGCTCAGGGTCGAATGAAATGAAATCAGACTCTCATCAAGCACACCGTTTCCAAGCAACACCCGTAAAAGGCAATAAAGCAACAAACAAGCTAGCGAAAGAAGCAGAAAACCTTCTCACCAGTGACCGGGGCTCTCTGTGTCAGCTTCAAGCCAAAAACAATGGGATGGCCCTCGGCCAGGCAGCGGCGCATGGAATCCAAGTCGACCGGAATTCGGGAGGCTTCCAGCACCTGGCGGTGTGTGGGTCGTTCGGGCGGTTTTGGTCGGGGTTTTCGGAAGCCCTTTTCACCTCCTTTTTCAACAAAGGAGAAGGGTGCGAGCGGCTGTCTCCGGTCTACACCCGGCGTACCCGGTGGCTCTGGCGCCTTATGTCTTCGGGCCTTCTCGAAGCACTCCTGGGCAGGATGGGGACAGTCTCATTCCGTGGAACAGATAAGGTCCCAGGCTCTCAAACGCTCCGTAAGAAAGCGAAGCCTTGGCCTCATACAGATGAAAATGTTTTTTGTTTTGATTACGGCGGATGTGCAAACATGTGCATAAAGAAAGCATATCAAAAAATACATCCTCAGTACCTCTTGGAAATGCGGGATGCATTTCAAGAATCTGCTAAGACTTTCGTGGACTGCCAACCTCACGCACATGTGGTGTGGGACGGTTTTTGTTGTCGCTTTCGCGGTCTCTTTGAGACCCCAGTCCTCCGTGGGCTTCTTGTTCACACCCTTCAGGTCATAAGGCCACTCAGACTCCATACATGCGCCATGGGTTTGCATCGCTGTGATCGCCCCACCGATGGTCATCCCCTCATCGCACAAGGGCCCCTGCGATGGCTTGTCCCACTCAGGCAACTTCATGGAACACGAGCCCTCGAAGAAACCAAAAAACACATCTGACAAAAGAGAATCTCTGGACTCCACTTTACTACTAGCATCTTCTCCTTCTTGTTCACTTATACACCCTCTTGCCCAGTTGGAGCCCCGGGCCTTTTCAAAAAAATGTCTCCTGATCCCTCTTGCGGCCCACGTAGTAGATGAACAAGCGAGAGATGTCTGCAGGAGTGTCCCCATTTTCCTTGCAGTGGCGCATGTTCAAGTACTCAAAGGCCCCGGCCACGGCGTTTGCGCAACAGCTATTGCACTGACTCTGGTCTTCAACCGGGCTCATGTGATTGCGCAAGTCCACTTTTCCAGGCAAATCACCTCATAGCATTTGGCAGGGTCTAGGTTCAAGCTTTGAGCGGCCTAACACAGAACCAGCAAGTATCGAAGCAAAAATCACCCATGCCTGTCTTTGTGGGCTGGTACTCTTTCGTGATCGCAGGTGGGGGGCCTCCCGCTTTCATACCATAGGGCACAAAGGTCTTGCCAGCACAAAGGACACGCTTCTTGGACTTCTTCTTTTGGTCCAAGAACTCAGGAGCAAGACATGCAGAACATACCTGACCCATGGCTCGCACCGCAAACCAAGACACTTGTTCTAGAACCTTCCAGCTGCAGCACGCACATGGCCATAACAAAAGATCAACTTGAACAGTGAACGTTGAATGGCGCCGCTGGCTTTGCTTCCAATGCCAAGGTGGCGAAGGATGTATAATTACCCTGAAAAGACTGAAAATAGTGGTGGCACTGTTTGTATATCAGGGACACCTTGAAAGAACAAGTCTCCACACGCAACTTTGATCTAATGATCTAATGCAAGCTAGAGGGGGTTCAACTTACATAAATGCGCCACCCCAAAGGAACCCGGAGATTTCTGATTGCATGGACAACTTGTTGGACGATGAGCGCTACATAGACTAAATATGTATATTCATATAAATTAATATGTATGTAGATTGGAACGGTCCATTGGGAGGCCCAAACCGTTGGATCCCTGTACTTGCCAGGAATGAACATCCAACCTTGTGGACAACCTGGCACGCCTTCGCAAAGACAATGGCCGCATTGGGATCCTCTCCTCGCTGAGATGCCTCTGATCGACCCCAACCACCGGAGAATCACACAGTTGTGACACAGCAAGGAATCATGAGTTGACACAGTCTGTTTCTCCGCAAGAATTGAGAAGCCAAACAGCCATACTATATATCTGGAGAATCAGACATGGCAGTTCATTCCTGCGCTTTCCGATCTTCCTACTTGGCAGTGCTGCACTTGTCAAGTTGATTGATAGGGCAGCACGGGCAGCACTGCTTAAAGTGACACAGAAGGTTGACTGGCCCGGCCTCCAGCAAAACTCAATTGGAAGGATCCCGGGGCGAAAAATCAGTTCATTCAGAACATGTGAGACGAGATCCCCTGAAGTCAAAGAGGATCTCCCCTCAACCTCCGGAGGTTCGGCCCTCCCCCGCCTGCTGGCCGGCCTCCAGGAGTTTCACTGAAGCCCTCAACGGCATCTTGGACAAGAGCTGAAGCGTCTCGTCCTCCCGGTCGGCACGGAGATCGGGGGGGGGGCCTGGTCCCAGAGCGAGTGGACCAATCCCTTCGTGTGTCTTTTGGGGCAGCCACCGGTACATGTCCAAGAACGAGCTCCACTTCTCACTTCTCCCATCTATCATCTATCTCCCCCCCGGCTGAAACAGTTCGGAGCCTCCAGGACCAGCCCCAACTCCATCGCCTTCTGCCTCCGGCAGCCCGGCGATCAGGCGCGAAGCGCAACACATGACAGGCCAGGTAAATCACTGCACGAAGCCCCTCAGCACCCTCCAAAAGCGAACAGGTTTTTCCTGAATTCAAAGATCTTTCGCTTCCCCATCTGAACCTCGCTGTTGCCCTGCTGTCTAGTGCTATACGGGTCCCCTGCTGGTTTTCTTAAAAGGTGGGAGAATGAGAAGTGACCTGAAGCACGCCCTTCGACCGCCTTCCGACTTCCGCACCTGGTCTGGTTGCCAGTGAAATTGCGCCCACCACCCGTACCTCGGGGCCGGAAGCACCAGGGACGACAGGTCACACACCGATGGCCGGCGATCGGGATGGAATTGAATTCTGCTGAGCACGGTAGCTGTTCAAAAGGTCATACAAATGTCGAGTTCAGTTAAGAACCCGGCAAAGAAAAATGAGTTAGTGCAAAAGTCATCGTGGCGACTTGAAACATGTGTATATACAGTAGATGCGAGAACGAACTGGACCCCACCGCCAGCCTCCTTCTTTTATGATCTTGGCAACCGCGGCCTAGCAACAAGCAACACACGGGCCTTTCGAAGGTCAAAACCGCTGAGGACCGCGATCGGCATGCGGCACTGTTCAAAGAACAGGAAATCAAACCCGAAATGACAGGTATGGGTTCAGTCCATACCTGTCACGGCCCCCCTCCCCTTGAACTTGCACATCTTCAACATGAAGCAAGTTGAACGGCGCCATGCTCCTCCCCCGGCGCCATGCTTCGAAGCTATGGCTCGCGAGACGACCTAAACGACCTAATGGCTTATGACCGACGAGAAGTGCAGGCGTTACTTGCTGCAAATCGATGCATAGCATGCAATTTAGTGGGCGAATGAGAGGCGCTAACACGGCCAGATTCATAAGCATCGAACAAACTTGAACTCATCTGTGCTTTGAAGATGAGACTCCCATGTGCCATCGCCGGGCATTATGAGCACAAACCTGAAACCAAAAATAACTCAGTGACCAGGCACACACACACTTGAGATATTGTGCATTGAAAACTGGCTGACTTCAAGGAACCTAACTTCAACCATGTTCAGCAATGCAAGCGCGGCAGGCTAGACCCTGCAGGCAATGCTTTGGTCACGATGTCAGCAGGCTTAGCAGATTCAACATACTGACGGAGAATGACAGGCTCTTCAAAAGCTTGACAAGTTGATAGCGTGGAACTTACTTATGCTTCTTCACCTTTGCTGAGAAGCCACGAGCGATGAAAGCAAGCACGACTTGGTGGTCCTCATAGCGTCGAAGAACCAACTCCAGATTGGCATGGCCACTGTGGACAAGGTGAACAGAGAGGAGGGTAAACTTAAACTCCGCCTTTGTGGTTTCTGCGGCTGACCGCATCCCCCAATCGCTTCGTTCACATCCCCCGGTCGTACAGCAACAGCGTCGTCGATTCTGGCGATCCGCCGGTCACGAGGGACGCCGAAAGTGATGTGGCACATGCATGTATTGCAACCAACTGACCCTTCGCAACCGCATGCACTTCATTACCAGCTTAGCTGCGTACCTAGTGAGCTTGCTAACAGTAAGCTGACAGGTTTACCTGAAAGCCTGTCATTCAGACTCACACTGATTCGCAAAGTCTGCTGAATGCAACGCATCGCCACCCAAACCCTTGACCGCGGCAAAGCACCTTTGAGCTGGACATGCTGTCTCATTCACTCCTTATCTTTCGAGTATTTGCAACAAGTCAATCGTGTCTGAATGGCATCAATCAGAAGGGCCTGAACGTAGTCATTGGGATTCCGTATTTTGACCTTGGAACATGGGGGCGCGCTTGAATGAAACCGATCTCATTACGTGGCATGAAACCGATCGTGGGATCCATGATCCCAGCACTTCAAAGACTTGCACATCCTGCCTGACAGCCCGGGGCTCCCTTGAAACAGTCCCGCTTTCCGGTATGTTGTCCTTCCCATCTCATCGACACGTGCAAGGACCGCAAGGAGGCAATAGAAAATCAGGTGCTAAGGTCCTGGCGTTACTCTTCCCAGAACCTGAAAGAAGAAAATCCATTTCTCAGGGAGTGCTTTGTACAAATGCTGCTAGCAGTGAAGGCAGTGCACCAACTGTTCACACCTGACTGGACATTATAAAATGCAAAATGCTACACAAGCCCGTGCAAAACAAATCTGACAAAAACAAATACCCACATGCCCACATGCCACATAAAGTGCACAACACATGACTGCTAATGGGCCACTTTGCTACAATGCTGCAAAGGCAAGTTCTTCCGTCAAGACCCGCCGTTGATCAGCCCCGCTGATCACCGCAGCAGCCACTTGTCCACTAAGTCACTCGTCCACGCCGTCCACCCGCCTTTGGAATAGAGCGAGCCCAGCAGATCCATGCCCTGCTCCTGCAGGAGAAGCATGGGAGTGCTGCGCTTGCCCATGTCTAGCAGCCTAGCCCAAAACGATTGCCACAAGTACCCTCGTACCCGTTTTCCAGTGGCGAGGTCCCGGTCACAACTGCCTAGCTGCCACTCACCTTCCACCTGCCCACCTGTGTCATCTTTCACGACGCTTTCACCGCGCTCCTCCGAAATACATCTCATCGCCAACAAGGACTCAGCATCCAGGCGCTGCCCCTCCCAGAGGTCCTCGCGCCGATCCGTCCGATTGGTGGCCCGAATCTTCACATCACGGGGTTGACTCCTTCTGGTTGAGGTCAAGGATGGCCATCTCGACCACAGTGGCATCTGGTGGAACCTGCCAGGTGAGGTCCGCACTCCGCATCCGGTCTGCGAGCTGCCATTACAGGCACTCCAAGACTCCAAGACTCCACAAATGACTGTCCCTTCTTTTCTCCATCGGCGCCATCTAATTTAAAACCGGCGCCATCTGTCCACATCAGCGGCTTTCTTGGAAGCATAAAATCACCCAAAATCCGCTTCATGGAAAGTCCATGGTCATGATAACTGATGATAACTGATAACTGTAGCTGCAAAAAGCATCAAAAAGCCACTCAAAACGATGTGGGGAGGTCAGCAATCCTGCAGGTGACCTGAGTGACGGAGCAGTGAGCGAGGGGAGAGGGCGGCAGCCGTGGGCAAGAGGCTAAGGTGCCTGAAGCATCTTAGAACTGGAGGTGGGCATGCCAGTGCACGTCCGAGATCAAAGCCATCTAGCAAACTTATGTCAAGCCCATTCAAAACCTATGCCAAACCTGCCTTCACAAACCGCTATGCGTTGCAAAGTGAATGCAAGGACCCGGACCCTGACCCCTTAAATCCCCACACGCCTTCGAAGCATTTTCGGCCAAAGACCCTCTCTCCACCCCCAGCCGGGCTAGGGTGAGGTCCGCCACCGCCACGGCAAGACGCATCCGCCCGACCGGTGAAACGCTCAGACTCATCACTTGATCCATCAACGTAGCCTTCCATGCTTGTGATCACCCAGCCAGCTGTCAAGATCTTCGATCTTCTTCATGTCAGGGTGCAAGCCTGCCTGAGCCCATCCCATGTCACCCTATCACATGCGGTCTAACCCCGAACAGGTTTGCTGTGGAAAATGGAGAAACTATGAACTAGAGACGGTTCAGGAAGCTCATGGGGAGAAAGGCTCCTCAAAGTTGATGGTTCAGTTGCGCCAAGCTGCTGCGAAGAAAGAATCCTTCATCCGCACTGCGAACTGATCCCATTCTGCTGGCGACACATGACCGTCAATGCTTCCTGAGACAAGGATGTGCCCACGAATCTACAGCATCCAAAGAGGAAAAGAGATGTCAAACACGTGAAAACAATCGAACTTGCACAGTTGGCACAATCTTGGCTGAATTGATCTCCCAAGATCTCCATCTCATCTCATCTGCCTGCCATTCCAACTGTCTCACCAGCTCCGGCGCCTCTGACTCGAAGTGCCGCTCCACAGCCTCCGCCCCTTCCCATCTCGAGACCGACATCCAATCCAGAACTCCACATGGCCCGAAGTCCTTGAGCTCCACCACCGCGCTGCGCCAGGGACCGGGCTCCACCATCTGCCACAAGAACTTGGGAGCACCCGGCTTTAAGACGTTGTCGGCCACCAGCACTGCACCGGGGGACAACGCGCCTGACCTGGTCAGAAGCTGAAGATCCTTCAAGAAGCGTGAGCCCCGCTGGTCGAAGAAGACCAAGTCAAACGGGGTGGCACCTGAGACGAGCGAGGTGTTTCAGGTTGCAATGCGGGAGGAACGGTCCATTGTCTATGATAATCTGGGATCAGGTGCTTTGAGGACGTGCAGCGGGGTACACCACTCCAACTACAGTTCAAACACCCTGTTCCTCCACTTGACATGCATGACACATCATGAAACCTTGCACAGTCCCGATCCCTCACCACCCTCACCGCCCTCACCGCCCTCACCTCTGGTCATTCGTGGCAAAACCTCCTCACTGTGGCCCACCCAAATCTTCACCACCTCTGACAACCCTGCATGCTCCACCACCTGCCGCGCCAGCCGCGCATAGATCGGATCCATTTCCACGCTCCACACCTCACCGTGCCAGGACCGCACCGCAGACCCCAGGCGCACTGCGCTGTAGCCCACGTAGCAGCCCACCTCTAAGACGCGGCGCGGCTGGATCACACGTACCACAGCTTCTAAAAGATCAGCTTTCTGCCTCAGCTTTGGCCGGTCAAATGTCCTTTGCTCAGTGTATTGATTAGATCGTGCTTCCATCATGAACCTGGGTTGGCTTGAGAAGTCGCTCTGAAAACCACAAAAACAAAAACGTTCTTCGACGTCCCAGGGCCAAGCCGCCCTCCAGCCACTTTCAGCCAAACCTTCCTGGAGGCGCAAAAGTCCTCCGCAGCCACCAGCACCTCCGCAGCCCTCCCGGCCGCCCAGCGTCGGACGAAGCGGAGCAGTTCCGCCTCCCGCCAGGCGCGCGGCGGGGCGTGAGGAAGGGAGGCCCAAACAGCCTGCTCCCGCTCGAGGTCGGCCAGTTGCACGCTGCCAGAGATGAAAGCACTGGCCAAGTCCTAAGATGTCTTATGACTGACCCGAGAAGGGGGGGGTGGAAAAGGTGTGCGTGGCAAGGCTACCGTCCAGGCAATGAAACGCGACCAGAAACTTCAAGCAAGCGACAGGTGCCAAGTCTATCTTCGCCAGTAGCGTGCGATCCAACAAGCTTGCAAAGGCATCCTGCAAATCCAACTTCAGCAAGCCACGAGCCAGCATTGCCAGGGCACGTTGGTCAGCAGAAGCCGGCAAGGTGGGCATCTCAAAAACGTACCGGCGGATGAACGTCCGCACGGCACCCACCGGGTTCGTCTTCGGTGTGGCACTTCCCAGGCCCCAGGCCAGGCTGGCAACCTCGTGCAGCTGCAAAGCTTCAAAGGATCCACTGCCTTGGTGAAAAGCTTCGAAGCCTTTTGATCCCGACGTTCTTTGGGAGGCTAGTGGCCACATTTAGCATCTTAATCTTTCCCTAAAATCGGCTGAAGTGGTTTTTCTCAGAAAATATGTTCATATATTTTCTATGCTTGGCACTCGTGGATTTAGCCAAGGCACTCACCGCACCCTGGGGGCTCTGCATCTCTCGAAGCGTGTCCGCCTCCTCGAGCGTCGCCAGCGCCCACACAGCCACCGAGACCTCCTGTGCCGTCATCGCGAGACCGCCGCGCCCTGCAGCTGCGGCCAGGGCAGGCGAGGCCTGGGAGAAGGTGGCGAAGGCCCACAGAAGGTTGGTCAAAATTCGACCTGTGAACTCCTCGGCCGCGCCAGGTTCAGACTGCTGCTCCCATGGCAAGCGAGAAAAAGTGACCGCACGGAAAATGATGGACAATCAAACTATTATTAACTATGTATCCCCGGCAGGCTCGAACATGATTTGTTGAAATCCGAAACTGCATGCAAACACGCTCCTGTCATCCCCAGCCCCACCACGATGTTCGGCCAAAGGCTCTGCGTGCCTGTTTGCTACCACCAGCTCCAGCTTCTGCAGCAGTTCTGAATCCCTGCCAGGGCAATGAACAAAGAGTCGAAGGCCAAAGCATCGAAGTGGAAAAGTAATCCATCCACGACCCTGAGAAGAGGTGACAAAATGTGGCCTGAAAAGAGCCCTGGCATGGGTGATCAACTGAGGAATGTTCAGAGCCTTTGGGAACCCGTGCAGTTGAATCAGTCGTTCCGCTCTTGATTGTCCCCACCTCCGACTTTCCTGTTGGCACTCCGGAGGCCAGCAGGTTGCAGGCCTTTGGTGGGCTCAAGCTACTCCAAGTGAACCTGCGACTCCCGCCCTCACCAGGTCCAGGTACCCTCACCCACCGCGGTTCCACACCGTCCCTCCAAACATCAGTCCCCTCCTGTAGCCCGAGCGCTTCGTCTGGGCCGAGCGCGATCGGCCGCCCAGCGCTGCGCAGGCCCATGCGACGGCACTGAGTTGCACCAAGGACATGTCCAAGATCTGCTTCTTGCAAAGGCCTGCGCTTGTCGAAGCTGGATCCAGCTCACAGATGTGGACTGCCTTTTGGTGCTGGTAAGTCTTAGAGTCTAGCCTTTTGGTGTCTCTTTTTGGGCCTGCCCATGGGACAAAAATACCGGAGTACGTGCTCCAACGTTTATGGCACACCTGAAAGGCTTGCGACCAACGCCCGCACAATGGTCCGAATGGTTCTCCATGCCTAGCAAGTCTGCGAAGAGATCCCGTCCGCAGGACAACCGAGCTGCAGACCACAGCAGGTTTGCTAGCTGCTGGTGGCTCAGCTGTGGCTGTGCCTTCAATGGTTGGGACATGTCCTGCACAAAATGTGGCCTCTTCAAACAACATCAATGTTTGGGGGCACCATCCCTACCGCGATGGTTTTTAGGAAAGCCGGGTTGGAGAACATGTCTGATAGTGGGAATGTTCGCATTACGGGATGGCAGCACCTCAATGAAACTTGCCTGGAATGCGGGTTCTGTCTTGGAATGACTTCCACTCCTCCGGTGGAATAATGATGTTGCCGGCTGGTCATGAGAAATCACACAACAATAGTCACAAACAACAAGTCATCCCTACCCGCCTTGGCTTGCATGATCAAGTCTTCCCCAACATCGGCACGGTGCGAGACGGCAGCCAGGGCCCAAACCTTGCGTTCGTTCCGCTCAGCACCAGTTTCCAACCAAACACCATAAAGGAGACGGTTTCCAGAACGGTCAGCTCAAGAGGCCGCTGCAAAGTCTGGCAGTAGAAGAGGGCGTCTGATCTGATCCCCACCAACCCCGAAAACGAAAAGGTACTGTATAATTCTGTGTATGATTACTGTTCGGCACAGGACGCAATTCGTCAACTCCTGCGCGCCAGTCTTTGCGCAGCTCGCAGCAAAGGCCAGGGCCGCTCGGTGGAAAAACGGCGGATCGGCGCAGGCCAGCTTGGCAAAGCTCCAAAGGCTGTTGGACAAATGCCGTGCGTCGCAGGACGTCAACCTGGGCCACGACTCAGGCTACAATAACTCGGCGGTGCGCCGGTGGGGCTCTGGTCAACCAGGCTCTGCTGACGATGGGAAGCAGTTGCATTCTCAAACAAGGAAGCAGCTGCCATTGACTTAACCAAGCAAAAACGTAGGGAAGTAGATAACACTTCCTTCCTAGTAACTGAAGGCTCAACTCCTCCTGAAGCACACCCATCAACGGATGGCTCTCCACCAGCGTTCGCGCCATGGCCCATGCCATCTGCGAGGCGTCCAGGACGCTCAGGATCGGCCCCGTGCGGGCTCCGCGGGCGCCGGTGACGCGGTGGGTGACCTCGTCCGCCAGGGTGATCAGCATCACCTCGGGCCGAAACCGAAGCCATGGCGCGAGGCGCCATGGGAACAACTCCGACCTTCGAACTTCGTCATCCAAAGTGCAAGTCAGTGAGCCTTGCCTTTTTGTCGTTGTGGCTTCTTCTTCTTCTTCTTCTTCTTCTTCTTCAAGAAGGTCTCCCTCTCTCTCTCTCTCTCGGCAGAGTCTGGCTTCCGGCTACCGCGCAGCCGTTGCACAAAAGCACTCGGAGGAATGAAGTGGCTTGTATTGGACCTACAGCTTGATAGGACGCAGCTCGGTTAAAATCGATGGAATAGAACATGTTGTTTTTGTTGATGCTTGTTGTATCTGTTTGTATATCTTTCTATGTCTCTCTCTCTCTCCCTTTCGCTATGCGGAGTGGCTGTGCTGAAGGGAACTGAAAAATGTGAAAGCAACTTAGCAGCAGAAAGCGGTATATAGGTTTATAAGCGAGAAACGTGTAAACCACAACAATCCATTCCATCACAGTACACCACTCAGAAGGCGAAACCGTCTGAGAAGCATCATCCGGTCTATACAACGTCGATTTAAATGTGTGTATATATCACCGTCTCTACTGTATCTCTACCGTATCTACCGTCTCTACCTCTCTCCTTCTCTATCTCATGTTGCCCCGACCTCCGGGCGCTCAAGCTCCACGCTGCACCAGGCCAAGCGCGCCAGGTCCTTCAGCTGGAACTCCTTGAGACGGCCGTGGACGGCGCGTCGGATTGTCACGCCGCGCGTGGCGGTGGTGGCCAGCGCCCAGGCCACGGAGACCAAGGGCTGCGGCTCCAAGTGCACGTTCTGGGCGGCCGAGGTGATCAAAAGCCATTGGGGATCCTCAGCCGGAAAGAAATCCTTCGGTTTTGACACGTTGGACTCTTTGGCCCTCACAGTTGGCGTTTTGGGCAACAAACTCCAGGGCGGCGCGTCTTGAGTCCAACAGGGATACGGATACGGTTATATTGTTGCACCATGTTCTGCCTCAAAGGAGAAGCCCCAAGTCCCCAAGCTGATATGGGCAAACCAGTTCCAGGGGAGAGGAAAGTTGAAATGGATCCACATCTAACTCACCTCCTTCCCATCTACCGCTGCAAACCTCCGAACTTGAACAAACCTGGCCTCCGCCATCGGAGTCTGGGAGTGCCGCTGCCAGCGGGCCAGGGCGTGAAGCACGCGAGCCAACTCCTCTGCGGACCATCGCGAGGGGTTCGCGGCACGGGCGCCGCGAAAGCCCAAGAAGTCCAAGACCTACGAGGAGCAAAACCCATGAGCAAACGTCGTTTGGGGGAGGTACAGGATGGTGAAGCCGTGTGTTTATCCAGCTGCTCAGCTGCAGCCTTGAGTGAGGTGATGGCAATGCGGCATCCCAGCTGCAGACTGGTCTTTAGAAATCGCCTGAACAACTAGAAACAAGGCTCCCGATAGCTGAATAACATAATAGCTACATAGCTGAACTACTTCAAACACAGCCCGAGTCTTGTTCACGCCTCGGATACATTGGTGCACTGCAGCAAATGGCCAGGTACTCTTCTATGCATGCCATGACGGACATGCGCTTCCCAACACTCCTTCCATTCCCGACAGAACGATCGCTAGATCACTGGTTCGGACCAACTCCAGCTGTGGCTACACATGGCATGGCTGTATGCGGAGAATGGCTGGTGGCCGAAAAGAGTGACCATAAAGCAAAGTAAGTATACTTATACAATATCTTATTAGATAATCTCTCCAGCATCCCTTCCACATGCCAACCGTCGGCGATGAGTAGGTCGAAAGGCTACGACTCAGAACTTGTGCTGTGAGACCTGGCTTGAGCAGCTGGCGGCCAACACGAATCACCAAAATCAAGCTGCATACCGTGCACTTGATGCGGTTGAAGTAAGAGGTAGGACCATAGGATTTGAACTTCCAAGCCTTCCAAGCATCCAGACTTTGAGAACTTGGCCCGTCTTTGTGGGCGTGCTCAATCCACATGCGGTTCTTTGATGCTAAGGCCGCTCAGGTGGGCAAACCTGTCCCCAAAAACAGGCACCTCATCCACAACTTATGTGTTGCGGCACGGCAACAGACCCAACGGCCTGGATCTCAGCGCGGTGCTCTTTGGCCACAACCGATGCGAATCGCTGACATGAGGTGCGCTGGCAGCGCTAGGGCACGCTTCCCTGGGTTTTATGCAGCTCATTGTGCACAACCGGAAGGCGCACCCTGGAGTCTGGCGCTGAGCCGAACATCCGCTCGGTATCGGTATCGGTGCTTGTTGGCTTGTGGGGGGGTGGCTTGCCTTGGGCGTCTGACGGGGTCCCCAAGGTGTTCGGCTCGTGACTCAAGCCTTGTAACCTCCCGGGCTTTCTTCAGAAATCTCCATGGTCACCTCAAAGCCGCGGCTTTTGTTGGAAAACCTCAGCCAGAGTTCACCGTCAACTTGGATGGGTTTGGGGAAGTCCCTCTCATGACTCCTAAAAGAAACTACAGGAGATTTTAAACATGAACAGAGTGAAACGGCTTTGAAAGAGGTCGGTCTCATTCTCAGCCTAGTTCAAGCGAATCTGTGGTCCCATCAAAACTCATCCCTGTCCCCCCCAGGACTCCAAACACCCAAGGAACTCCCTGTCCACGAGGTGTCCACTTGTCTGTCGCCGCATCCCAGCACTGGAGGGCGGTGAGAAGGTCCCGTCGCACTCAGAAGCGCGCAGCATAATCTTGTCCAAGAGCCCTCGTCGCTCCTGGCAGTGGAAAACACTTTTGCGCGAGCAACAAGGAACTGCACGGGCTGCGGACCTGCCCGTGGCAAAGCGGGACAAAGTTGTGTATATATATATATATACATCTCTCCCTCCCTCCCTCCCTCCCTCCCTCTCTCTCTCTCTCTTGCATGGCGCGAGTAGGTTCGATGTGAGAAATTCAAGCCCAATTCCCTGCCATCCAAACGGCATGACTGTGGCAGGCCGTCCTCAGGGCCCAGTCTTTCGCCGTAAAGCGGCGTCTCATACTGGCCATGCGCTGTGATGGGCTCAATCTTGACATCACCCAGCAGCTCGGGGCAGGCTCTCTTCCCCAAGCCAATGTCATTACATGCGTGCCTCAGCATGCCAGGGAGGCAAAACAGCTGGACAGCTGGTGCCACCCGACAACATCAAGCACCTGAACAGGCTCTCCGGCCCTGTGTCTTTAGTCCAAGCTTCACTAAATCATAGGCAATACTCTCTGACACCACCGAATCCTGCTTGTAGTCCTTGTGGCCATGCACGAAGCTCCTCATCCAAGTCGCAGGCGTGACCTGATGCCCAGTGGCCCGTGCCTTGATGAGCTTCAAATACTCATCGATCCGCCGGAAGGAGGTCTCGTCGCAGCCGATGTGCTCCAGGTAGGCATAGCCTGAGCCAAATCTCCGATTGGGGAGGGCCTGAACCTGGTTTCAGCCTGGTTCACCCTAGGCTTTTGTGGGAGCACGCGCAAAAACGCCGGAAACTTTCAAGGCTGAGCCACACAATGGCACCAGCCCTGGAAAATAGCAGCTCTTCCCATTCATGATCTCATCCATCGTCATCTCTTCAAATTGGCTCGATTTGGCTTCAGCATTCAACGGCTGCTGCTCGGGACACTTCTGTAACATGAAGTCATCAGTGTCGTCCGGCAAGATGTGCTTCCGGAACCAAAACTTGGACTTCCGCACCGCGTCCATGCCATGGGCGCGTCTCATGTTCCTGAGCCCAAGTGGCATCTGGGCACAATGGATTGGTCCGCATTTGCACTTCCCACAGCAAAATCTAGCGAAACATATATTGGCCAAACGCCCCGAATCTTTGGGTCGCTTGCGGCCCGGCCGTTCTTTTTCGATTCAAGGTGGGGTGTGGGCATGTGTAGTGTGTGGCACTCGTGCCGTTCGACAAGCAGGGGAGTGCGCAGCTAGCAGTGTAGCTGCCCTAGTCACACGAGCAGCAGCTTCCCGTGTTCTGTATGCCGCCAGGCATCTCATCCACCTTGGACAGCGGCGACAGCAAGGTCAAGTTGAAGACGAGGATCGCCCGAGTGACGATCACCTCAATTGGAGCTGTTTGGTCCGGAAAATGGTCCGCCGTCATCCACTGCCTCTCGTCCCAAACGAGTGACAAACGAGCCCATCTCTGGTGCAACTGAGTCACGATGAAGGCAGTGAAGGCTGCATTTTCAAAGTCGGTGAGTTGCACTTCCATTGATCTGAACTCGGTTCGCCAACCCACGTGAGGAGCGCACGCATTGGCCTGGAAAACAGGAATCAGCGAGGGTGAGGCCAAGCTGTTTCATATGCGTTCATACTCATGGGGGCCAGGTCACCCAACCACAGCTAATTACAATAGATCAAAGCAGGGCTCATCATCACAATCATCAGGGAAACCTCTGTCGCAAAACCGCAGCGCTGTCAAATCAAAAACGTGATGCTTCTCAGGTTCTTCACTGACTAAACTGAACTCTGTTCACATTCAGATCGAATCTCAAACGTGATGTCGTGTGGCTAAATGATCTCATTTCGCTTGAACTGTCGTTCTTGTTACTTAACGCTACTTTGTATGGGCATGCCAGGAACCTTGCACCCCCCACATGACCCAACTCATGTCTGTCACACCTCTGGGAGAAACCGGGCCTAGCGGGCCTAGCGGCCCCCGGTGCCTTGGTGGGCGGGGGCTTCCATCGGACCGTCTGCCAGTTGGTGGACTGGATGCTCTCGAAGTGCTCCGTGGTCGCCAGGTCATCCACTTCCACGTGGCCCTCGAAGATCACCTGGGTGACACCGAACACTCGGATGTTAAGGTGAGAGAACCGTCTACAATGGGATGTTAAGGTGAGTCGCAGCCTCAGTTGAACAATATGAGATACTAAAACCTGCACGGCTTGCACTACAACTTCTATCACCCACTGAATTTGGAGAGTGCAAGAGCGCATAACTACTGGCCATTGGCTACCTGCCATTGGCGCACTCGGTCGCCAGCCTACGCTGGCGCCCGATCTGATCAACTCAGTGGCCAAGGGGTCACGCGTGAAGAGGTGCGCCATGTGGCACGACATCGTCTCATCAATCCCTTCCTTCTTGAGCAAAGCAAGCAAGTCGTCATCGATCTCACAGGGGATATCGCTATAGATCTCTGAGGCCGGATGGATGTAGCAGGAGATGGAGTCATAACGGCTCTTGCTTTGCCTCTTCACACCTGTGGGTTGACCACCAACTCTCCACCATGGCCTCTCACATGCCTGATGAGAATGAGCAACCAGACCTATGTTCAATCATATCCCTTTCATCTCTTCAGCTACTTTGGACCCTCCACACCTGAGCCAGCCATTTGCGGGTTTGCTTCACTGGTCCCCTCCCCTCTCTCGGCCGGAGTCCGGTCATCCACGGACTGCGAGATCAAGCTCCAGCGCACGTCCGTAGAGGCCAAGCGCCCCTTGACGACGGGTGTGGCCGCCGTGAGGGCCATCATGATGGGCGCGAGGTTGGCCAGCTGATCGTACAAGAGCCGCGACTCATCGATGTCGCTGGCCTGAAAGGTCACCTCAGGTCACCACTGGCAGTATCTAGAGACATGTCAGAAAGCGGGCTTTCCTTTCTGGAGGTGCCCAGATGGCTCCCAACAGTCAAGGCAGTTGGAGTGAGGAGGAAAAAGATGAAAGGGCAAGAGAAAAAGCTCAAACTTTCGTGCAGGATCCTGACCTGCAGGCAACAACAGCCCATACCAAATGCCATGCAGTCCATGTGAATCTGTGGGTCCTTGGTAGTTTGGAACTCTGGAGTCTTCACATCCTGGTGGCAGGGCATGACCACAAACCAATCGTCCAACCCATGTTCAAAACACCAGATGCTCTGAAACCCAAAGCTTAAAAAAGAACCAACAAGCAGAAGTTCCAAACAAATAGCAACTGAAATTGAATTTGCCATGAGGAAGATACTACAATTATAAGAGCAAAAAGAACAGGGGGTGGAACGGCTTTTGTTTCGGCTCTGGCCTGGTAGAGCGGCACCCGAATGTCCACCTTGCTCCCCCGGCGCCGCCGGATGTTCCCAGTGAGCGTGCCGAAGCGCGGGTGCGGGTTGATGCAGACGTCCGGCACAAAGTCCGATTGGGACGCCTCCAGGTGGTGAAGGGGTAGGCCGGTGTCCTTTCTGCGCAAAGGGGGGAAGGTGAAGGGGTAGGCCCACTACTTGGGAGGGCAAGGGCCTCGCTTGCGACACCAAAACCTACCCAGCACAGACTCACTTGCGACACCAACACGGACTCATTTGCGACACCACAACAACAACAACAACAACAACAACAACAACAACTACTACTGTTACTACTGCTGTTACTGTTACTCCTGCTAACGTGACCCCGGGCACACCGCACACTGGCACATCTGAAGCGGGCGCGGGGGTCGGTGATGTAGAGCGGTTTTCGTGGGGCGGGGGGGGGGTGGGGGGGGGCGCAGCGCCCCCCACAGCAGCACACCAGATCCAAAGGTGAGCACGGGCGCGTCACAAGCGAGCCAACAGCTCCGCGTCGCATCCGAGTCCGAAATCCGCGTCACAAGTGAGACCCTTTCCACTTGGGAGTCGCTACTAGGAAGTACCTTCTTAGGCTTGGACGCAGAAGGTCTCAAACTTCTCAGGAGGGGGGGAGCTTGATTGAAGAAGCCTGTTGTTTTGGGAAACTAAACAGGCTTGAAGCCTAGGCAGCCCAGTCCCTTCCAAAAAGCTTCGGTTCCAGATCTTGACTTATCGCGTGATTTCGCTTCTCCAATTCCATCCGGCCTCGCCGCCCGGCGGGGCGGAGGGGCTCGTGAACTCGCCCACGCCCATCAGCGGGAAGGTCACCAGAGTGGGCGCGATTTCATCGCGCGCCAATGCGGAGAGGAGCCGACCCCGACGCAAGCGCATGTTCTGCTCCACCGAGGTGAGACTCATGGTGTAGCCTCCATAGGGCAAATCTGGAGTGCCTTCCAACATCCAGCTGCCATACTCCTGTGGATGGGTTTCGTGACGCTCCTGTGGCTCTGCTAGAAGCACAGGAGCAACTAGGCAGACTTTGTCCTAGCTTGTGCATGCTTCTACTATGAAGCTGGCGCCATGGCCCCAAATGCAGACCCACTCCTGGTGCCAGGTGCAGCCCCTGAAGGCGTGGATGACCTGCTCCGACTTGCGCAAGGCCTCCATGGCCTCGGGACCCCGCAGGCTGATCTTCACCGTCCTGTTGGCTTCATCCACCTGCCGAGCGAGTGCTGATGTCGTTTGTTTGAGTCCGGGGGGGGTCCGAACAGGGAACCGAAACCAAGTCATCTGGCACCGAAACGTGGACTCACCGCAGTGGATAGAAAAGCTGACCACCTACCGTTCCGGGTGGCACTGCTGGGGTTGGGTGTGGCATATTGGCAGCACCTACTCAGCACAATTATCCGTTCCTGCTCGCACATAAGCTGCATTCTCCACTGACCTAGATGACCAACCGCACCTTGAGCATGGAATATTCGATCTCATCACCATAGAAGAGGCGGTCATTCTCCAGGTGCTTCAGTCTGCGGTAGGTGGCAATGAATTGCAAGATCCCATGCTCCCGGACATAATTGCAATGCTCCAGGGAATCCTTCCAGTGCAAGGGAGTTCCAACTTTGAGAAGCCCCATGGCGCTCAAGGTTTGAGCCTCAAAAAATGCCTGCCATAGGGGCAAAAAGGAAAGATAAGTGTCAGATAACTCCAACGATCCCATGCTTTCAAGACCTGTGTCCTTACAGAGCAGATGGTCACAGGAAGATTCCGACTTGACTTTCTCTTTAGGCTCTGGACAGGTGCTGGGGCCTGGACAAAGCTTCAGGCGCACACAGCTCCCTGGTGGTCAGAAACGCCAGAACTGCTTATCCGCCCATTCGGGTGATCCCAATGAACCAAACCAAACCAAAGGCCAATGTGCCACCATAGCGACAAGAGACCAAAACCCCCACCCAAGATGGATGATAGGTCTGATAGGAGTCTTTCCAAATGTATCCAAAAACAGGTTTTGGGGCTTACAAGCCACAAGCCCACAAAACATTTGAACTACTCTGAGTTCTCCTGACCTGTGGGGGGACGTATTTGCGAGCGGACCGTCCCACAGGATATTGGATGAGTTTCTCTTCAGGGAGGTGAAGGCGTGAAGGCTATCCATCAGCTGCTGAGAGGTTAAATATGGAGGATCCTCTTGCAGTGATCCAGATGCAACCAAGAGGCCTCACACCTCCTGAAGGTGGGCGAACAACATCTTCTCGGAATGAAACGCAGGCTCGGGCCCATGGCGGCAAACAGGTGCATCAAACAGCCAACCCTGCAAGCTCCCAACACGTGCCATCTGGAGAGACAACTGCAGGCTACACCCAAAAATCCAAGCAAGCACAACCACTGACAACGGCTCAAAGATCGCGT